GCCACAAACACCCAGGAGGGTGCTTCTTAAACTATAAGCCAGATCATGCCACTTCTCTGTTCAAAATCATGCACTTAAGAAACACAAAAATTCCTGCCAGGGCTCCCACCTGACTGGGAGGAAATACCAGAGTCCTCTCCACAGCCCACCAGCCCCTGCACAACCTGCTCCATCACCCCTCTGTCCTGTCTTCTGCTCTGCATTGTGCTCCAGCCACACGGGCCTCCTTGCTGTCCCTTGCGCTCACCAAGCAGGGCCCTGCTTCAGGGACTTTGCACTGGCTCTTCTCGGTGTCTCAACACTCTTCCCCTAAATATCTGCACAGCTCCCCCAGACTGTTTCAGGTCTTTACTCAAATGCTATCTTCTTGATGTGGCCCACCCCGATGCCCTATTTATTTATTTATTTATTTTGGGGGCGGCTGGCCAGTACAAGGATCGATCCCTGGACCTTGGTGTTATCAGTACCACTCTCTAACTATGTGAGCTAACACGCCAGTCCATGATGCCCTATTTAAACTTCCAACTCACAATCCTGATTCCTCTTCCCCTATTTCACTTTTTTTGGGGGGTGGGGGGGATAGCTGGCTGGTACAGGGATCCAAACCTATGACTTCGGTGTTATAAGGCTGTGCTCTAACCAGCTGAACTAAACCAGCCAGTCCCCTATTTCACTTTTGTTTTTCCATAGCCCCTACTGCTCTCTCACGTGCTAATTTACTTCTTATCTTTCTTGTCTGCAGTGGACAAGCGTCTACACAAGTCATCCCCTCCGCCCCCTAGAATGGTAGCTCCAAGCAGCAGGTATCTTTGTTTGTGCTCCCTGCATTTCTGGTCCTGCTCTTGGGGAGTTCTCTTCACCCGAGTCTCCCTGGGCTGAGTTATTCCCTAGGAGCCAGGAAGTTTAGGGGAGTGGGGTCCAGATCGTGAGGGGTGCCCCGGGTACGTAGGGCCTCGGGTTGTGAGAATGGGGCCATACTGCAGTCCCAGGTGGGGCGCCAGAATGTATGCGGGGCAGGGTTGGATGCCAGGGTGTCTAGTCAGAGTCCTAGGCCAGGCGTGTGGGTCTTGGGAGATGACACCCATGAGAAACCAGGGCCCACCAGGGACCTCGAGCCAGCTGAGGCCTCAGGGGCGGGCCGCCCGTCCAAGGACCGGGTAGTTAGAATGCGTGGAGGCGGGGCCAATCCCAGCATCTGGCAGCCAGAGCCCCAGCGGGCGGGGTCCAAGCGCCCAGAAGGCGGGTCCAGAGGCTAAGCGCACCCTAGGATTGGGCAGTCGGAGCGCCGGGAGGCGGGGCCGTGAGCCAGACGCATTCCGGCCCCGCAGTTTAAGACCCAGGCCGGCGGCCCGGCCCCTGGGCGGGGCTCACAGGTGCTGGGGCGGGGCCTCGAGCCGAAGGGGCGGGAGCAGCCCGGCGGGGGATGGGGGCGTTTTCTC